AGCCCGCGCGAGGCGGCTCGCGGGACGAGCCAACTTGTCCTATTGCCCACCCCTAATCATATTTCAATTCTATAGTGTTGTACTCATTTATATTCGAAAGAATCAATTATTTCAAAACAGCATACGTTTACGATTTAGAAAAATGATCTTTAAATTCCTAAGATGATGGGAAACTTGAATCGCATATAATGAAATGATTTTGTTAATGGCATATTCAATGAATTAAAGAATCTGAACTACACCCAACACAAAGGCACAGGTGAAATTTTTGAAGCAGCTTTACGTACATATTTTGAAATAAAACCTGGCGGAAACTTGAACATAAAGCTTTACAATTTAGAAACTCCAACTCACTTTCATTTCAAGTTTAACTAAACTTGGTGGTATTACTGTTCATTTTAACTATAGAGCTCCCACACTTTAACTCAAAATCAATTAATAGTTAAACTACTGGTTTAACAAAATTGAACTCATCTCAAACCAGGAATCACCAGTTCAATTCTATTAGTATTCATCCTCGGGTAATATGCAATCAAAGAAAAATCATAACTCTGAGCACCTTTCAATGTAAGCATTATTGAAATTAGAAGCATTATATGGTAGTGGTAAAAAAGTGTGTAACGCCCTGCCCCGGAATCCCGGAGTCGGTACGCTACTAGATCTGATGGACTGACCTCACAAACCACCACATGTCTTTTCAGCACGTTTTGTCCTCACTCACGCGCTCCCTGAAAAACTTCCCAGGCGGTCACCCATCCTAGAATTTCTCCAGGCCAAGCACACTTAACTTTGGAGTTTCTAAGAGTTAGGTTCCCGAAAAGAAGATGCATCTTGATGGTATGAGTATTCTAATCAAATCTATCAATACTAATCACATCACCCTCTCAAGGGTTGGGGTATTACAAAGTGGCTGCGACAAATTAATAGACTGGTTACAAATTTGAATATATCCGCTCAGTGATCACCGATACATGAGTAAAACACAATGACAATATTGCTACCATATAGTTTGTGAGTAGTAAACCGAAAATTCTTGCATTGTTCGTTACAGCCACGTGACAAGCCTTCATTTGCCTGCAAAAAAAATTCTCAAGTGACTTCTCCAATTGAACTTTCTTGCATAGGCTACACATGCCCCATTAATTGTGAAACAATGAGGATATGCTGAAGGACTTCTCATTAGAACATCTAGCTACCTGATTTTGGCAGAGGAAGAGTCTGCTACCTTGTGCTCCTCTTTTTCCTACTTCTCACTTTTTTGAGCAAGCTTGGATTTGCTTCCTTCTCTCAGGTTACAGTTGTTGACCCTGCGAACAATCGAGTCACAAACTCTAGCGAATGTGCCCTCCAATTCGAAACTCTACCAGATATCGTTTTCATCTTCCTCGAGAGCATTTGCAAATCTTCTCCCAGTCTAACGTGAAAACATAATAAATTTACAAATTTTAGAGCTAAAAGAGTCTAGGGTAGCATAAAATGAAGTAATTTGACTTAGAAAAATGATCCTCGTGCATAAATAAGGTGCATATTTTGCATGTTAAAATTCTGTGAATGGGTGCATGTCTTCCATACTAAAATTCTCTACTACTTCACGAGAACTGTGAAAGAGAAACAATAGTGACAACATTTTACCAATCCATGAACACATTTATATACGGCATGAATAAAATTAGACTACTGTATATAGCTTATAGGATGCAGACCAGAACATGAAAGATTCATTACTGTAGAAAGAATAATAAAATGTAAGTTATTTTCCATTATATCCCCTCCCAGTTTGACATGAGCACAAAAATAAGGATATTCAAAAAAAAAAACAGAAATACAACCTTGCTTGATTGCATGCCTTAGACAGAAAGCACCATGTTCACCAAAAGTCATTACAAGAACAACATCCCTGAGAGAACTGATGATACAGATTTGGATCCTTCAAAATAATCTCTCTACCATAAGCTTTTGATGCAAACTTAAAAGCTTCATGGCAATCTTTACACACTCGAAGATTCTTCCCGATCCTAATCAATTTCTCCCCGCCATCTCCCATCAATACAAAAGCCAAAGCCACTTTCTCAGTGTGACCACATAAATCACTTACTTTCGCCTCCTCGTGCTCTAAATTATGTCCTATGCTTGAAGTATCCGGCTCAAATCCAGCCTTATTTAAAATATCATACATCTTAACTGAAAACTCCTTCAAGCGATCCCCAACGGAGAATTTATATACTTTCCCCTTTTTCTCTACCCAACTGTATGCAGTGTTTGCCTTTAGTCCCAACTCCTTCATCACCATTCTCACCTTGGCTACATCATCCCATCTTTTGGCATCTGCATAAATCCGAGACAGCATTATATAATTACCAACATCATATCGGTCTAATTCTAATGCCTTTTTAGCTGCAAACTCTCCCAATTTGAGGTTCTTGTGGTTTCTACAACAAGAAAGAAGTGTTCCCCAAACAAACTTGGATGGTTCAATTGGCATTCTGCTTATAAAATCCAATGCTTCGTTAACACGTCCTGCTCTCCCATATAAGTCAACCATGCAAACAAAATGTTTCATCTCTGGAACAGTGTCATAGTCACGATTCATCGAAAGGAAAATTTCACGACCTTCATCAACTAGTCCACTATGGCTGCAAGCTGAGAGAATAGAAATAAAGGTGACTCCATCTGGCTTAATACCTAAACTCCTCATCTCATCAAATGCATCCAGAGCTTTTTGACTCAATCCATAGGTGCCATAACCTGAAATCATAATTGTCCAAGTCACCACATTCCTCTTTTGCATTCTCTCAAAGATTAGAATTGCAGAAGTCATGTTGCCAGTCTTTATGTACATGTCAATAAGACCATTAAATTCTATAAGCTTTTCCATTTCACTAATTTCACGACTGCTGCATTTGAGTATATAGCCATGTAGTTCCTTTCCTTTTCTGAGGTCAGTCGTTACTCCACATATATTTAGGACTAGGGCGAGCATAGAAGATCTAGGCCGCTGCCAACCTTCAAACAGCAGATCTCTGAACAGCTCAAGAGCATTTTGAAACATTCCATTTGCAAAATAAGCAGTAATGATAGAATTCCATGACGCTAGATTCCTTTTTCTCATTCTATCAAAGACCCTCTTTGCATAGCACAAGTTTTCACATTTTGCATACATGTCTACTACTGAAGTTTGAAGTATCAAATCATCCATGATAATGAGAGCTCTTCTTAGACCAAACCCGTGGAGGACTTTCCCAAAAGTAAGATTCTTTATCTGCGAACAAAGAGAAAATATAGTGGTCAAAGTTATCTTATTCGGTTCAATTCTCTCATTTAACATCTTAAAGAAGAAACCCATTGCTTCACACCTTAAACCATTTCTTGAAAACTCTGAGATCATCACGGTAAACAAAGTTACATCTTTGTTGGTGATCTCACTGAATAACCGAAGGGGTGCCTCAAAGTCTCCATGCTTGAAGTACATCTCCACTAGACTAGTGCTAACAAAGATGTCAATAGTGTAGCTGAATTTGATAGCAAAAGAATGAAATTGCTCTCCATGGAGTGGAGGCTCTTCTAGAGACAGTGAGAGCTTGATAAGTACCGGAATCGTGAATTTGTCAGGCCGAATGCCTCTCTTTTGCCATTGTAAGAAATGGATGAGAGCAAGTTTAGGCTGTCCAGAGCTAAGGTGGTATCTTATGGTGGAACTTAGAGAGAATGCTGTGTCAAGAGATAGAGCTTTGGAGGAGCTCGAAGAAAAAATTCTGGTCAAAGATATCGCACAAGTGAAACTCTTTTGAACTAAATGCTTTCCTCTTTGCATCTGTAGTCATAAACTTTGAATCTCTATTTCATTCAGAGATCGGTTCAATTCTAGAGTTCATTGAAGCAAAACGTCGAGCACATGATAGGCAACTCTTAGTGAAACTACATTATGCCCCGCACTCCATTCTTTCCTTCTCCAAAACTAGACAAGATAGAAGAAAACTCATAAGAAACATATACAAGATCATCAAACAGTAATATAGCCCCCCCCCCCCCCCCCCACCCGACGGTTAATGAAGAGACAAATTTTCAAATTCACATATTTCCTCTCAACAAATGCTTTCTTAAAAAATTCCCTCTTTTATCAATTTAGACGTTTCTCATACCCACGTACAAATTCATAGATAGAGAAGAGAAGAGAAGAATTTATCAAATTGGTATTTGGAGGGCAGAACTGAAGAAAATACCAAAGGGGCTGATTTAGCCTGGCCCAGATCAAGAAAGCCTTGGGCTTGGGCCTTAGTTATAGAGTCCAAATTTTAAGTCAGATTGAAGACAAATCTTTGTCTTGAATGCTATAGCATAACTTGGATCAAGGTTGATATTTGTCACTCGAGAAGTCTCGGTCCATCTTCAAATGGGGGTATAAAAGAAAGCGGGAGCAAATATGTCATACAAATACAAATTTTGGTGATCCTAAAATATGCAAATATACAATCTCATGGATTTTCAATACATACTAGAATTTTTTTTTTTCCATCTCAAACTTCACATTAGGAGATAATGATTAAGATGAATGTTAGGTCACGTCAAAATTTGATCCATATTAGTAGTTATTAGCAATCGTTTCTTGTGAAGTGCATTATTAGGAGACACTTTTAAGGCTCCATTTCTTCTCCGCAGCTAATCATGGTGCCCTTATTGATACTGTGGGGAACAATTCAAAGTTTTTAACACGTGTCTGAATCATACCATGAGCGAATTTGATAACGAAAAAAAAAAAATTCAAATAATAAACAACTTAGTTAAGAAAATCGAATAAGTGCAAATTAAATTTTCTTTTTCCCCCCTCTTTGCAAATGCATTATCAAATAAACTAATTTAAGCTGAAGCAATTCAGTAGCGAGGAAGACAAACAATACGTATAATTCAATAAGAGAGCAATGACAAAGCAATAGAATGTTCCTCAGGATTCTCAAATTTCAATTTTGTGGCTCAACATTCTTTTTTCTTTTGTTTTCCTTGAAATAAAAGACTTATTGTATTATCAGATTCATCCTATGAGTTCTATGAGCCACAAAATATCAATTCAGTTCTTGGATTACCAAAGTGTATCCATTATACATTTTCGTATCATTTAACATATATCGGTCCATATTGGTGAAATTTCCAGGCCTTCCACATTGAACCAAATTAGCCTGATGATACTAATGGTTAAATATGATCCATTTATTACTCTTAGCTAGAATCCGTAATAAGACTTTACTAGATTTATCTTATCTTATCTTATTCTCAGAGGAGATGATCATAAGAAGACAGAATTTCCTCCTGTATTCCATGTTAGGCATCTAATTCAATTTTTAGAAAGTAAACTATTTCTTAATATTGGCAGGAGACCTATTTTCATTCCAGAATAAAAACAAAGAAAATTTTACGTACTTGAGAATATATATACCTTTAGCAACCTGGATAATAACATCTATTAATTGAATTCGTATAAATCATCTTCTCATATGCATGCGGGAAGTTGAAAATTAAAGGAAACACTTGTTTTTAATTTGTTTGCATTGCGTTGCTTAATAGGGTCTTTTGCATATGTCACCTCTGAAGATAGATATTTTGTGTTACCTCTGAAAAAGATACTAATTGCTATATACCATTCTAAAAAAGTATTAAAGCGCGCATCTAATTTCTTATTATTTTGCTTTTCAAAGTTAACACGCATTACATAGGTCTGACTATCCACCATGATTGATCTAGATGGTTGGGATGGATAACGCAGCGCGGAAATGATAACTGTCAGGCGCCTAATATTCCAAACCCACCGAAAGAAGCAGCAGCCACAACACCGAAAGTGCACAGCCACAAATGTTGAAAAGAGGAAATGAAAACAAAAGGGCGGGCCCCACAGCATAGTAATTTATTATTATTTTATTATGCATAGTGTTTTTCATAATCCTATAAATAGGCTCCAAATCTCTTATAGAAATCTCATCCCAGAAACAACTTCTTATATAGAAGAGTGAGAGAGAAAAAAAATAGAGAGAGTTTCTCCTTGAAAAGAGAGAGAGTTTGTAACTCCAGAGTTTTTCTCCTTATAGTGGATTCTTCTACCCTTGCCCGTGGACGTAGACAATCAAGTGCCTAACCACGTAAATCTGTGTGTCCAATTTTTATCTCTATTTTTACTCTACTATTGCTGCGACCCTGCTCTATTGGGCTCCGGGTTTGTCCCAACAAGTGGTATCAGAACCAACTTAGGATACTTGTATATATCTGCTTATCGTATGCTCTGTGGCTGTCACCAAAGGTGGATCCTCCACATCAGAAAATAAGTTAGGTTATCACTTACCCTTTGAAGGTGACGGGTACCACCAAAGGTGGATCCTCCACATCAGAAAATAAGTTAGGTTATCACTTACCCTTTGAAGGTGACGGGTACTATTCACGAGTACGGCGAAAATAAGTTAGGTTATCACTTACCCTTTGAAGGTGACGGGTACTATTCACGAGTACGGCACTGTTCATAAATACGGTACTATTCATAAGTACGGTACTATTTACGAATATGGTTACTGTTTATAAATACAGTTACTGTTCGTGGTAGAAGCAATGGCGACGAAGTTCAAGATCGAGAAATTCGACGGGAGTAATTTCTCACTGTAGAAGTTGAAGATAAAGGCTATCTTGAGAAAAGATAATTGCCTGGCGGCCATCATTGCAAGGCCGGACGACATCACAGATGATAAGAAGTGGAACAAGATGGACAAAAATGCTATTGCAAATCTTCATCTGGCATTAGCAGACGGGGTGCTGTCAAGCATAGAGGAGAAGAAGACAGCAAAGGAGATTTGGGATACTCTAACAAAGCTATATGAGGAAAAATCCATGCACAATAAAATCTTCTTAAAAAGGAGACTTTACACTCTGAGGATGGCGGAATCTACATCGACGACTGACCACATCAACACCCTAAACACACTGTTCTCCCAACTCACAACATTAGGGTATATAGTTAGTGCGAATGAACGTGCAGAACTTCTACTTCAGAGTCTACCTGACTCGTATGATCAACTCATCATCAACTTGACAAACAACGTCCTTACGGACAATCTAGTCTTCGACGATGTTGCAGCCGCTGTTCTGGAGGAAAAAAATCGACGCAAGAACAAGGAAGACAAGAATGCAAGTTCGCAACAAGCGGAGGCCTTATTGGTGACGAGAGGAAGATCAACGGAACGTGGCTCCAGTGGGAGTCATACCCATGGTAGATCCAAATCAAGAAGTAAGAAGAATGTCAAATGCTACAACTGTGGCAAAAGAGGGCATGTCAAATCGGAGTGTTGGCACAATAAGAAGAGTGGAGAGAAAAAGTTTTCAGAGCCATCAACATCTCAAGGATGCGTTGTCAGCACATCAGACGATGGTAAAATTCTATTCAGTGAAGCAACCACTGTTGATGAAGACAGAAAGAAGTTTGCTGATGTCTGGCTTCTGGATTCAGCAGCCTCTTGGCACATGTCCTCTCGGAGAGAATGGTTTCACAAATATGAACCTATCTCAGGAGGATCTGTATTCATGGGGAATGATCATGTCTTGGAGATTTCTGGTATTAGCACTATCAAAATCAAAATGTTTGATGGTACAATACGCATCATTCAAGATGTGCGACATGTAAAGGGCTTGAAGAAGAATCTATTATCTTTGGGATAATTAGATGAGCTCGGGTGCAAGACCCATATCGAAAATAGGATCATGAAGATTGTTAGAGAGGCGCTTGTGGTGATAAAAGAAGAAAAGATAACTGCAAATCTGTACATGTTCAAGGGAGAAACCATGCAAGAAGCTGATTCATGTGTGGTATCAACCAGCCGTGGAGAAGAACAAACCATGATGTGGCATCGCAAGCTAGGCCACATGTCAGAACGAGGCTTGAAGGTTCTCTCCGATCAGAAGCTGTTTCCTGGTCTTAATTCAGTAGCTCTTCCATTCTGCGAGCATTGTGTTACAAGGAAGCAGCATCGACTGAAGTTCAACACATCGAGTTCTAGAAGCAAGGCTATTCTGGAACTGGTTCATTCTGATGTATGGCAAGCACCAGTTACATCCTTAGGAGGAGCAAAATACTTTGTGTCCTTTATTGATGATTACTCCAGGAGATGTTGGGTGTATCCTATCAAGAAGAAGGCGGATGTGTTCTCAGTCTTTAAAGCCTACAAAGCGCGGGTCGAGCTTGAATCTGAGAAGAAGATCAAGTGCTTGAGGTCAGATAATGGAGGAGAATACACAGATGGTGAATTCCTAGCATTCTGCAAGCAAGAAGGCATCAAAAGACAATTCAGTACGGCTTATACTCCACAACAAAATGGAGTGGCGGAGCGGATGAACAGAACTCTGTTGGAAAGAATAAGAGCTATGTTAGCAACTGCAAATCTGGAAAAAGTCTTTTGGGCGGAAGCAGTAAAAACCGCTTGTTATGTGGTGAATCGATCTCCATCAACTGCAATACAATTGAAGACGCCAATGGAGATGTGGACTGGCAAGCCAGCTGATTATTCCAACCTCCATATATTTGGATGTCCAGTGTACGTAATGTACAATGCCCAAGAAATTACAAAGCTGGATTCAAAATCCAGAAAATGCATATTCGAGAAAGGGGTATCGCCTGTGGGATCCCACTGCCCGCAAGGTTATCTTCAGCAGAGATGTTATCTTTATAGAGAACCAACTACAAAGTGAAGAAAAAGAAAGCAGTTCGAGGAAGGACTCAGAGACTGTAGCTGTTCAGGTAGAAGATAATCTGAATTCTTCTGAAGCAACACCGGAGCATGATGTACAAGAACCGGTCGAGTCCGAGGCTCCAGAAGTTCGAAGGTCAACTCGTGAGAGAAGACCACCGACTTGGCACTCAGAGTATATTACGAAGAGTAATGTTACATACTGTCTTCTAACAGAAGATGGAGAGCCATCAACTTTTCATAAAGCTATAAATGGCGCAGATGCATCTTTGTGGATGACAGCAATGCAAGAAGAAAT